CTTATAATTTGTTTGCATATTGTTTTGGATATTTTAGGTGAGCCATAATCTTATCAGTGAATAATAAAATTTGAGTTCTACCCTCTCAATACTTGGACTCTTTATTCATTTTTATTTACTTAATGCACTGGTTAGGATTCCTGGTATAGTCTTTTATTTTTGCAACCTTATGTAATAAAATTCATCTCATAACTTTTAGCAAATTTATTGAGTTGTAACTGAAAAGAAACTGATGAATTCCCAGAAATACACAACCTACCAAGACTGAATCACAAAGAAATAACCTTGATGAGACCGATAAAAAATAAGAAGATTGAATGAATTGTCATAAACCTTCCAACAAAGAAAATGCCAGGACCAGATGATTTCACTGGTGAATTCTATCAAATATTTGAAGAAAAATTAACACCAATCCTTCTTAATTTCTTCCAAAAAAACTGAATAACAGGGAATGCCTCCAAACTCAATTTAGTAGGTCAGCATTACCCTGGCACCAAAGATGGTCAAAGGCACTACACAAAAAGAAAACTAAAGGCCAATATCCTGATTAATACAGAAGCAAAAATTTTCAACAAAATATTAGCAAATCAAATTCAACAGCACATTAAGAAGATCATGTACCATGACCAAATGAGATTTATCTCTGGGATGCAAAGGTAGTTCAATATTGTAAATCAATTAATATTATACACCACATTAACAGAATGAAAAATAAGAACCACATATCATCTCAACAGCTGCAGAAAAGCATTTGACAAAATTCAACATCTTTTCATGATAAAAACTGTCAACAAACTAAGCATAGAAGGAACTTAACATAATAAATGTTACCTATGGAAAGCCTACAACTAAGATCATACTTACCAGTGAAAAGCTGAAAGCTTTTTCTCTAAGATCAGTAACAAGACAAGGATGCTCATTCTTGTCACTTCTATTTAACATAGTAACAGAAGTCCTAGTCAGAGCAATTAGGCAAGAAAAAGAAATAAAAGGCATCCAAATTAGAAAGGAAGATGTAAAATTGTCTCTGTTTTCAGATGACATGTTCTTATATGTAGAAAACCCTAAAGACTTCACCAAAAACTGTTAGAACTAATAAAGTCAGTGAACTTGCAGGATACAAAATCAATGTAGAAAAACCAGTTGCATTTCTGTACATGAATAAGAAACTATCTGAAAGAGAAATGTAAAAAACAATAGCATTTACAATAGTATTAAAAACAATAAAATACATAGGTATAAACTTAACCAAGGAGGTGAAAGGCTTGTACACTGAAAACTACAATATATTGGTGAAAGAAATGAAAGTGTACACAAATAAATGGAAAGACATACCAATCTCATTGATTGGAAGACTTAATATTGTTGAAATGTCTATACTACCTAAAGTGATCTACAGATTCAGTGCAATCTCCATGGCATTGCTCACAAAAATAGAAAAACCAATTCTAAAATTCATGTAGAAACACAAAAGATCCAGAATAGCCAAAGCAATCTTGAGAAAAAAAGTTTGAGGCATTATGCTTTCTAATTTCACAATATATTACTAAGCTACCCTCATCAAAGCAGTGTGGTACTGACATAAAGACAGATATGTAGACCAGTGGAACAGAATAGGGAGCCCAGAATTATATGGTGAACTGATATTTGACAATGGTGCCAAGAATGGACAATGGGGAAAGGATAGTCTCTGCAACATGTGGTCCTGGGAAAACTGGATTGCACATGGCTGGGTTCTTCTGAGGTCAAGCAAGTTCACAGCCTTTCCTCCTTCTCATGACCAGGCAGAGGGGAGGTCAACATGTCACAGACATTAGGGACATGTGGGGCTCAGCCCCTTTGGGCCCTACACAGGCTCCATCTCAAAGGAAGGCAAGTAATTGTGCAATTAGCTTCATTGGCTTTTTCTCTAACAGGAGGCTTAGGGTTGTGTTCCCCTGGGTCTTAGCACTGTTGGTAAATGTGGATCTTCCTGCTCATTGTTCTAAACAGGTATGGGAGGTACTAAAGATCCGTACGTCAAGGAGGCATAAGAGATGACTATTCAAGCGGCAGCTTGGATGAGCAAGAATCAGCATAGATCAGAGCAAGGTGGGAACCATCACTAGAACTAAGTATGTGGGTTTATGTGAGGATTAGGAGGGAAGAGAGAAAATGCATGTTAACATTGCTTGTGTAACCACGTGTTTTTAGTGGGTAGCTGACTTGCGCATTGACCTAAATAATGCTACAAGCCACATGTGGCCATAAAATTAATTAATTAAAATTAACTAAAATGAAAATCTTGATTCCTCGGTTGCACTAGCTATATTTCAAGTGCTCAGTAGTCACATGAGGCTAGTGTTGCTGTATTGGACATTATATTTATATGCAGATACAGAACATTTTCATCACTTCAGAAAGTCATATTGTATAGTGCTGATAATGGACCGTGGAGAACTGGAAGTCTTTTGCCAATGCATGTATGTGTGCTTATATGTGCTTGTGGGATGCGTATATTGCTTCAATTTATGTTATTTATGTTTTATGTTTGACTATGTAATTCTTGGTATGTGTACTAGAGTCTGTATGTGTGTGTGGTTTGTGAGATGTATGGGTGATTAGATACGGTGTTTGTTTTATTTTGAACAGTGTTATTAAGGTATAATTGATAGACAGAACAGTACATATTTATTGTATACAACTTGATGAGTTTCACATGAGCATATACATGGGAAGCTACCAACATAATCAAGGCAATAGACATGTCCATCACCTCCAAAAATGTCCTTGTGCCCTCTTTTTCTGTGGCAAAACTTAATATGAGATCTACCCTTGTAATGAATTTTTAAGTGTATAATATAGTTCGTTGACTATAGGCACTACACTTTGCAGCAAGTCTCTAGAACTAAGTCATCTTGCAGAACTGAAACTTTATATCAACTGAGTAACAACTTTACATTTTCTCCTCCCCCAGCCCTTGGTAGCCACTATTTATTCTCTGCTTCTATGAGTCTACTATTTTAGATGCCTCATACAAGTGAAATCATGCCGTATTTTTCCTTCTGTGACTGGCTTATTTCACTTAGTATAATGTCCTCTAGGTTTATTCATACTGTCACAGATAGCAGAATTTCCTCCTCTTCTAAGGCAGAATAATACTCCATTGTATGTATACCACATTTTTTTTTTATCCATTCATCTGTTGATGGACATGTGGGTTGTTTCCATAAATTAACTATTGTGAATAATTCTGCAAATGAACACTGAGTGCATGTATCTCTTCGAGATCCTGATTCCAATTCTTCCTGGTATATAACCAGAAGTGGGATTGCTGTATCATGTGGTAGTGCTATTTTTAACATCTTAGGGGAACCCCTCTACTGCTCTCTATAGCATCTGGCCATTTTGCATCCCCACCAACAGTGTAGAAGGGGTCCTGTTTGTGCATTTTTAAAATTGTGCATGATGGAGCATTTCACGTTAAAGTTCAATGCAAGTTATGAATCCATGCAGACTCCTATATTTTCAGCTAGGATGAACGTAGGTCAGAGAGGGCCAAAAAGCAGCCCCGTGGTTTGTTTGTTTCTGTGTCACTGTGTGCCATTCTGTGTGTCTGTCTGTGTGCATACCACACTCACATTCTAATTCTCTTTGCCTTGAGTGAGTGTAGAGCAGAAAGGGCCAAGCGAGTGACAGCCATGCGTGTATGCGTAGGATCTGGGCAAACGGTCTCACAGTCTGACTCTTCCTTCTCAGCTCTCGACGTAAATGGGAAGCTCTGTGCAGAGTCCCCTTTATGCAAAGTTAGTGGTAATTTGTCCATGTGGTTTGAAGGTTCCTGAACTTCTCCAGGGCCCCAAATTTTCTTCATTGACTATCAACTGGTTTCCATATTTCCCCTTTGGGGAACATGGTGCATATAGTTAATTTTGGAACCTTGTTTAGGAACCTCATCTAAATGGAATCATACAGTACTTCTACATTTGTGACTGGCTTATTGTACTTAGCATACTGTCCTCAAGGTTCATCCATGTTGCGACATGTCCCAGGATTTCCTTCCTTTTTAAGGCTGAATAATATTCCATTGTATGTATGTGTACATTTTATTTATCCATTCATTTTTTTCAATGAACATGAGTAATTTCCATCTTTTGGCTATTGTGAATAATACTAGTTTGACAGGAGTGTACAAATATCTGTTTGAGACCCTGCTTTCAATTTTGGGATATATACCCAGAAGCAGAATTTCTGGATATTACAGTAATTCCATCATTATTTTTTTTGGTGAACCATCATAACATTTTCCACACTGGCTGCACCATTTTATATTCCCACTGGCAATTCACAAGGGTTCAAATTTCTCCATATCCTCACCAACACTTGCTTCCCTCTCTCCTTTCCTTCCTTCCTTCTCTCTCTCTCTCTTTCTGATAAGCCATTTTAATGGTGTGAAGTGAATTTACGTGTCGAGCACTTGTTTTTTTACATGGTACGTTTCTTCAATCCTTCCAATAATGCTATAGTACTGCATGTGGTGAGAGAGAGAAAGATGGAGACAGAGAGAATGTGCAACAACTGGGATAAGCAAGAATCAGACACAAGCACGTAGCAGTTGAGCTGCAGAGCCATGCTCTTAACCAGTACTCTATGAGGTTGCTGCTAGAAAGTGGGCTCCCTAAAGGAAAGGACTGAGTCTTATTTAGTACACTCTCCCTACTGCTTATCAGAGCATCTCCACATGGATAAAATAGAAAAAAGAGTGAGTTGTTCTGATTTTCATTGAAGAGTTTGATGTCCACACTTACTCAAAGTGGCTGTGTCAGTGTACAGACACATCTCATTGCATGGTCGTCACGGACTGGACAAGGCACCTACGTGAGAGAGCCATGCAGTGAGATGTGTCTGTGTGCGGACACAGTAACCTGGAGAGGGTGGGACAGATGGTAACTGCTATGCTCAGTATTTCTAAGTTCCTGCCATCCCCACTCCCCTTCATCCCCCGTGGACAGAAGAGGAGCATGAAGCCTGGGAACCAGAGCAGCATGTCCGAGTTCCTCCTCCTGGGCCTCCCCGTCCCCCCGGAGCAGCAGGGCATGTTCTTCGCCCTGTTCCTGGGCATGTACCTGACCACGGTGCTGGGGAACCTGCTCATCATCCTGCTCGTCAGGCTGGACTCGCACCTCCACACCCCCATGTACTTCTTCCTCAGCCACCTGGCCCTCTCTGATGTCTCCTTCACATCTGTCACCGTCCCTAAGATGCTCATGAACATTCAGACTCAGAACCTAGCCATCTCCTATCCGGGGTGCATCACACAGATGTATTTTTATATACTTTTTGGCTGTGTTGATAATCTCCTTCTCGCAGTGATGGCGTATGACAGGTATGTGGCCATCTGTCACCCTCTCCACTACACTACCGTCATGAGGGAAGGGCTGTGTGTGTCTCTGGTGGCTGGCTCCTGGGTTCTCTCTTCCGGCAGTGCCCTCTTGCACACCCTCCTCCTGGCCCAGGTGTCCTTCTGCACTGACAATGTCATTCCCCACTTTTTCTGTAGCCTCCCCGTCTTACTCAGGCTGTCCTGCTCTGACACCTCTTCCAATGAGCTGGCTTTATTTACTGCTGGGGCTGCGGTTGTCATTCTTCCATTAAGTGGCATCCTGGTCTCTTATGGCCACATTGGGGCCTCTATCCTGCAGGTCCCCTCTACCAAAGGGATCTGCAAAGCCGTGTCCACCTGTGGCTCCCACCTCTCTGTGGTGCTGCTGTTCTATGGAACAATTATGGGTCTCTACTTTGCCTCCTCACTGAGCAACTCCAGTGGCAAAGACATGATTGCCTCGCTGATGTACACAGTGGTCACCCCCATGCTGAACCCCTTCATCTACAGCCTGAGGAACAGGGACATGAAATTGGCTCTGGGGATTCTTTTCAGAAACAGCATCCTTTTTGCCAAGTGAGAATCACCTACTCATGTTCTCACTTCACCCGCCGACCTTGTCACAGATGCCTTCTTAAAAAATGGTGTGTTGACCACTCATGTCTCTAGCACCCTCCTGACTGTCCTCTAAATGGGTGGTCATGATCTAGGACCCTACTCCTTTCAATCTAGTCACATCTGTGGTCCATTCCTTCTTCCATAACCCTAAGTACGGCATTGCCCACAACACACATTCATCTTTGTAGTCTTCAGTGCCAGACTCCTTATGAGTTGGGTGTTTGATTGATCATTCTGAGTAAGTTGTGGTATGCTTTTATCTCCCTGAAGAAAGATGCTATGGTATTGTTTTGATAGCTTTAAAAAAAAAACGTCATCAGCAACAGGTGTTATAACTTTAAATTATAACTCACAGTCTCTGTTGGCATAAATGAGCTCTAGATCAGCCCCTTATTTCCTCTTTCTTGTCTATTGTTTTTCAAAACTACACATAAAGTCCCTAATGTTTTGTTTTAGAAAAGTCCAGAAAGCTTACCTTCTTAACGCAGTAGCTAGAGAATCAAGTGCCTTTGATGATTTGCTAAAACATAAATAAATTTTCATTTGATTGTGCCTGTGACAAGAAATTCATATGGAACACAGAGGAGTCCATCCAATCACCAGATTTCCCCATTCTAGGAAGATGTTTCTTTTCCCTCCACGTTGGGTTTTTGTGGTGAGAACAGCCTGTATCTGCCTGGTTAATTTTAGTCTGGGAAACTGAGTGTCATCTTGTTTCCAAACCGAGACTTCCACTTTCAAGAAGGAAGAGCTAAATGTGCGAATTCATAATTCATGCACATAAAATTATTTACTGAATGATTACTATATGCCAGGCAATTTTGTAAGTTCCAGGCATACAAATTTTTAAAAAAGACCCCAAGTGGGTCCCCATGGAGAGTTTACATTTCAGCATTTCTGACCCCATTCAGGATACTCGTTTTTTTTCACAGTAGTTTTTAACCTTCAAACACACCAGAAGATTTATTCATTTCTTTAAGTGTCATTGGCTCTTTACTGGAATATAGGCACTACAAGGGATGAGCTTTGTCTCTTCAATAAATAAATAAATTCTTTTTTGTTTGGAGGTAAAAACTGTTGTGAATAAAGATTAAAAATGGGAAGCAAGAGTACTTGGGATGGGGTTTACCATGGAACATTGTGTGAGCCAGGTAGGACTCACTGGAAATGTAATATCCAGATAAAGGCAGTGAGGACAGGTAAGTGAGCCATGGGGCTACTGGGGGGAAAACATTCCAAGTGTGAAGATCTGCAGGTAGAAATACTCTGTGGAAAGACGGCGCCTGGTCTATTTCAGGAGCGTGAAGGGAGCCTCTGAAGCTGAAAGGGGACAAGTGGGGGGTGGGCAGGCTCTAGGTTTAGAGTTATCAGGGGATGATCAGATTTGTAGGACACTGAAGATCACAGTAGGTGTATTAGTAAGGTTCTCCAGAGAAACAGAACCAGTAGGGTGTATGTGTGTGTGCAGAGAGATTTATTTTAAGGAATTTGCTCTTGAGATTGTGGAGGCTGGTAAGTCCATAATCTGCAGGGTAGGATGGCAGGCTGGAAACCCGGGGAGAGGTTGCAATTTGGATCCAAAGGCAGCCTCCTGACAGAACTGCCTCTTCTCTGGGAGAGGTCAGTCTTTTTCTCAATGCGCTCAACTGATTCAGTGAGGCCCACCTGCATTATGGAGGGCAATCTACGTGAAGTCTGCTGGTAAAAATGTGAACCCCATCCAAAAAAGACCTTCATAGAAACGTCTAGCTTACTATTTGACTAAATACCTGAGTACGTTAGCCCAGCTGACACATAAAATTAACCATCAGAGTAGTTTGGTTTCCAGTCTAAGCAATTTGGGAACACACTGGAAGGTATCCAACAGAGGAGTGGCAAGATGCTTTTGACACATGTATACCTATGAAACTATCCCCACAAACCACAGAAATCATGAAGTTCCCTCCTGCCCACCCGCCGCCTCCTCTTTGCTTCTATCTGTCACCAGGGGAACCACTGATCTGTTTTCTGTCACATAGATTAGTTTACCTGGTCTAGAAGTTTATCTAAATGGAATCACATGGGAAATATTCTTTCACTGCTGCTTTTTTTCACTCAAAATCATTTTGAGATTCATCCATGTTTCAGTGTTTATCAGTGGTCCATTCTTTTTATTCCACTGTGTGGATATACCACATTCACATCTTTAGTCCATTCACCTGCTGATGGACATTTGGGTGTTTTCAGTTTGGGGCTGTGAAAGAAAGCCATTAGGAACATTTTTGTATAAGTCCTTGTATACATTCTCTCCTTTGGGCAAATAACCGTTCATATGCTAGGTATATGCTTCATTTTGAAAGAAATTGTCAAACCGGTTTTCAAAGTGGTAGTTCTGCTTTACATTCCCACTGGCAGCATGTGAGAGTTCCAGGTCCTCCATAGGTGCAGTGATCCATGACGGCAGCAGTTCTTTTCATTTTAATGAAAGTAATTCATTCAGCAATTACAAAGTGCCTACTGTGTGCCACAGCTGATCCCTAGGAATACAGAGACATTGACAATGAACCTTGTGATTTATTAAGCTTCATTGTGTGTTCACCTGACTATCCCTCAAACTCATACGAAGGAGACTACTATTATTCCCATGCTGAAGAACCTGCATCTCAGAGATTTTTGATAGATTGCCTGGGGATGCTGTTAGGAGAGCCCAGAGCTTGCAGACTCAATGCCTTACTCCTGAACCAGGCACAGACTCTACCGGACAGGACCTCACAGAGCAGTGGGGAGACCTTCAGGGGCTTTGTGTTCTAACAGAGTCCTGAGTGGGTGTTATGGAAGCCTGCAGAAGCCTGCTGGGCCCTTGCCCCGCTTGGGCCGTGCACCATTGCATGGAGAAGCTGACCTCAGGATGTGGAGGCCACGGGTGGCTGGAGAGCCTTTCGCTGCCCATCGGGAGGACCGACCAGAGCCTGAGGCATTTCCGACATGAGGGCCTCTTCCTCCACGGACCCCACTGGTGCTCCTTCCCGGCGCAGGAGGAAGCTGGGCGGCAAGCGCAAGCCGACAGCTTCTGGAGTCAGGGACTTGGGATTATTTCCTTCTGGGTCCCTTTCTGATGGGTAAAAGATCTTTTCGCCTGTTTTGAAGTTGGCAAACAGACACAAAAGTCTGTAAAGGTCCTTGGATTACGGAGGTTTGCTCCTTTTCCTCAGATCCTGAGTCTTCTGGGCAGAAAGTGAGAATTCAGGTGACAGCACCAAGCAGGTGGTATCTGAGCTTATAGCACTGGTATAGATCAGAGGGGCCTAGAAACCTAAACCTCCAGAGCCGTGTGTGTGTGTGTGTGTGTGTGTGTGTGTGTGTGTATGTGCGTGTGTTGTATGACTTTATGTGTGTATATGTAACTGACTCACACTGAGTGTCTTTATCTAAGATATGTAAGAGAGAAGGATGGAATCTCCTCATATCTTACTTGCATTTATGCTGTTGTGTGCTGTGGGTAAGACCTTACTTGCATTATGCTGTTGTGTGCCTTGCGGTAATCAGCATACATATGACTGCCTATGATCACAATGTATTTGGTACAGGATGCTTGATAGTTCCATGTGGGTAGCTGCGTTGCCCACGTGACAGTGTATTTCATTTGTGAATTTTGCATAGATTTATGTGAAGCTGACCCATATCCTGACTCTACAGGGTAGAGTCTGTGCCTGGTTCAGGAGTAAGGCATTGAGTCTGCAAGCTCTGGGCTCTCCTAACAGCAGCCCCAGGCAATTTATCAAAAATCTCTGAGATGCAGGTTCTTCAGCATGGAAATAATAGCAGCCCACGTGACAGTGTATTTCATTTGTGAATTTTGCATAGATTTATGTGAAGCTGACCCATATCCTGATTCTATTTACCTAGTTTGAATATAACCAGAACAGTCTATGTATCTCCCTTTGGCAAGTGAGTGTCCGTGTGCACTTTGAATAACAAATTCATACCTTGACTTCCATCACACAAAAGATGTGTTAGAAAGAGACTTAAAACCAAAATGCAGACATTTGTGTGTGTGTGTGTGTGTTTGACTTCCTCACATTCTAACTCTGCCTAGGCCCAGAATCCACACAGGCAGCCACAAAAACAGGCCACCTGGAAGAGCTGTTGGAGGCCACTTTTCAGTGATTTGAATGTGACAGATGGGCCCCTGGAAGCCCAATATTTTTGACACTTTTCTTCAAATTTGGGTCACATAGAAGAACTTATTCACTATGTAAGAACTTGTTCACCATGTAAGAACTTGTTCATTATGCTTCAGAAGATTGGAGACTGTTGAGAATTAGGCTTGGGGTTGATTAATGATTGTGCACTGAGTCTCTTACACAGAATTTTGTTGTTGTTAACAACCATTTGATCAATAAATACAAGAGATGCCCTCTCAAAAAAAAATTTGGGTCACATAGTTTAGAGACTAAATGGTATCACTTCTGGTGTCACATACCCTCAAATCTTGGTCTTTTTCCTACTTGACAGCTTTGTGGCCTTGGGTTTGGCCTCTCTGAGGCTCAGCAGCCTCCACTGTCAGGCAGAAGCAATGACAAATGCTGCTAAGGTGCCCACCAAGCACTAGGCAAGTCGTAAGGCTACAAACTGTAGCCTTGAGGGTTACGTCTGCAGTGAGAAGCCAGTCCTGGGCAGGATGAGCCCCTATCCCCTCCTTGTGCCCCACAAACGGCACCAATCAATGACCTCAAGCAATTTCCTGGCCTGGAATGAGAATCTGCTGTCAGACACTTTCACACTAATGATAATGTCAGGTTCTTCTCCTAAGCCTATGGGCACTTCAACATTTAACTTTAGTGTCTCTACCTCTCATGGAAAGAAATAAGTGGGTCCTCTTTACAGTGAAAAGATGAGATGATCAGAAAATCTACCTTTGAGACCAGGTTCCACTCTGCAATATCTATGTGATATCATGCAAGCAATTTCACTATTCCTATT